GAGGCGTGCGGATGAGGTGTCCAGGACAAGGGCGGGCAGGAGCAGGAGTTACGCAGGATGGCTTAAGCGAGCGAGTGAATGAGGAGCTGGATGGGGAGGGCCATGACCAGTACGGGCAGTGAAGCAGAGAATGAGTAAGAGGAGAAGGTGATCGTTTCTTATTCCTTGTTTTGCCTATCGGTGCGGGCCCTCGCCCCCCCCCCCCCCTCCCCCCAATAAGCGTAGATCTTGGCTGTTTTTGGGGCTTGTTTCGAGCAGGCGCAGTCTCCCCCATAAGACGCGCTGTTGCAAACAGTCGCATTGAGCAGCGGTCCAGAGCCAGACCCCGCCTTCCCCCCCCCCCTTCCGCCCAATGTCGAAACGCCGAATCAGAAAACGCTCACCAGGGAGGGAGGACGACAGATGCGGCATGCAGATGAGAACCGCTGGGCTCCAGAGGCGGAGGGAGTGCGGGAGCGGGGATTCTGCAGGGGAGGAGGAGGATGAGGAATGTGGGGAAGCGCAGTTTCCTGGAGAGGAGCGCGGGCTGTTCTGGAAGCAAAGCGCATTGAACAGCAAAAGGCGGAGGAGGAGGAGAAGGAGGAGGGGGGAAACGAGGAGGGGGATGAGGAGGAGGAGGAGGAGGAGGAGGAGGGAAACGATGAGGAAGAGGAGGAGCAAGAGGAGGAGAAGGAGGAAGAGGATGTGGAGGAATAGGAGATGCAGGAGGAGGAGGAAGAGGAGGAGAAGGAGGAAGAGGAGAAAGACTGAGCTGTGAGAAGCGACACAGGATGAAGGGCAGGAGTCAGGAAAGCAACATCTAGGCGCACCTGTCATCGTTACTTCCAATGAGCTGTCCTGGTATCTTGTTCCCCCTTTGGGGCCCGCAGCTAATTGAAATCGCCGATTTGGGGAATTACGATCGCATACCTTCACGTTCGTCGAGCACGGATTTTTGGACCACGTCGTTTGATATGTTGCACGACGCGATGTGATGGTATTTTGGTTGAAGACGTTCATAATTTGCGTAACGACTTCTCGTGTTTTCCACATCGTCGTGAGTGCGGTTATTGCTTTCTGTGTCACCCCCCGCGCAGGAGAAACGTCCGCACCCCCCATCTTCTATTCGCCTCGATCCACGCTTACCATCACCATCACACCGCCACCATCGTCACTGTTACCATCCGATCGTGATCATCGACATCATCACCATCGTCACTATCATCACCATCATGATCATCATCATCGTCAACATCATCATCATCAGCACCATCATCAGCACCATCATCAGCATCACCACCACCATCACACTCACCATCACCATTAGCAGCAGCATTATTATCAGCATCCTCATCACCACCATCAGCATCATCAGCATCATCATCATTTTCATACTCATCACTCACCCACTCACTCGCTTACTCATTCACATTCGTTCATCACTCACCCACCCATCACCATGCCTGAGCATCATCACCACCGTCATCATAACTATCGCCAACATCGCCAGCATCAACCACATCACAGCTACCACCGCACTCACACACCCACCACGCACACACACACACACACTCTTATCTTGAGAACGTCTCAAGCGGGAGCCCCGTCAGTGAGTGAGTTGCGGGGAAGTCTCAGACGGGAGCCTCCCCCCTATGGCCCCCCGCCTCATTTCGGTAATCCGAGCGGATCATTGGCCTATTGCAGCAGGCATAGTGCTGGAGCACCTCAAGGGCGCAATTCGTGAGGATGTCTCGGGCGGGGGCCTCGTCAGTGAGTGAATTGCGAGGAACTCTCAGGCTGGAGCCCCCTCCCTATGGGGCCCGCAGCTCATGTTTGTAATCCGAGCGGGTCATCGTCGTAGTGTAGCAGGCATGACAATGACACTTCAGCACACCAAGGGGGGAACTCGTGGGGACATCCCGAGAGCCTCGTCTGTGATGGAATCGCGAGGAAGTCTAGAGCGGGAGCCCTCTCCCTATGGGGTCCCCGCATCATGTTGGTAATCCGAGCGGGTCGTCTGCGTAGTGTGGCAGGCATCGTATTTGAGCACCCCAGGGGGACAATTCGTGGGGACATCTCGAACGGGGACCTCATTTGTGAGTGAATCGCAAGGAAATCTCGAGCGGGAGCCCTCTCCCTCTGGGGGCTCCGCCTCATGTTGGTAATCCGAGCGGGCCATCGGCGTAGAGTAGCAGACATAGCACTTGACACCCCAAGGGCGCAAATCCTGCAGCTGTTTCGTGCGGGGGCCTAGGCTGTGAGTGCATCGCGAGGAACTCTCGAGCGGGAGCCCCCCTCCCTATGGAGCCCGCAGGTCCAACACGCCCCACAGGTCGCACAGTTTTCACGGGCCCCACATGGTTCAACGTTCTCACACGGCGCATCTTGGTACCCTCGCATCTTGGCATCATCACCATCGGTAGTAATCGGTGAGTGTGAGTTTGCTTCGCATTATTGAGATTCCCATGTGGGGTCATTCCGTCGGAGTAATATTTTGTGACGTTGGAGAGTTTCTTCACGG